GCTCCACACATATTGGACACTCAGCACATGAACATTAAAAATAAAGAACATCAGCCCTAGCCAGTTTGGCTCAGTGAATAGTACGTCAGCCTGTGGACTAAAGGGTTCCAGGTTTGATTCTGGTCAAGGGCACATGCCCAGGTTGCGGGCTCAATCCCCAGTAGGGGGCATGCAAGAGGCATCCAATCAACAATTCTCTCATCACTGATGTTTCTATCTTTCTCCCTCTCCCTTTTTCTCTGAAATAAAAATATCTATAATAATAAAAGCATAATATGTAAATCAACCAAACGGGTGAACAGCAGAACAACCATCCGGAAGACCATGCCTATGACACCCACTGGCACCAAGCCAGCCAAGTGCCAAGGCAGGTCGAGGCCCAGCCATCGCCCCATGATCACCCTGCAGAGGGAGGTCCAGGCCATGTACTGGTGGGCTGCGGCAGGTGGGCAGGGCCTCCCTCTGCAGGGCGCAATCCATCACAGAGCCCCGCTGGGTGGTCAGGGCCTACCACTTTGGGGCGATCGATCATGGAGCCCTGCGATCGATCGCCCCAAAGAGGGAGGCCCAGGCTACCCGGCAGTGGCATGATGGCAGGTGGGCAGGGCTCCCCTCTTTGGGGTGATCGATCGCGGGGCTACCGGACTGTGAGAGGGCACAGGCCAGGCTGAGGGACCCACACCCCAGTGCATGAATTTCGTGCACCGGGCCTCTAGTCCTATATAATAAAAGCCTGAGAAACCAAGATGGCGGCATAGGTAAACACCGGAGTTTGCTGCCTCGAACAACCACTTCAAAAATACAACTAAAAGACGGAATGGACATCACCCAGAACCACAGGAAGGCTGGCTGAGGAGAGACTCTTCAACTAGAAGGAAAAACAACAGCATTACGAGGCTTAGAGGAGGCGCAGTGTGGAAAATTTAAAGGTACGGTGGTGCGGTGGTGCGCGCGCAAAGCGGGCTGGTGGCTGAGGGCGCGGTTGTCGTTTTCAATCAGGAGTGAGTCTCAGACTCTGGGCTACAGATCCGGGCGAGTCTCTAGGGACCCAGACTCAAACGGGAGAAGCGGGACTGTCTGGCTACGGTCCCTCCGAGGTTTGCAGCGGTTGTGGGGACAGAGAGGCAGAGCCCCTGGAGACGGACTGAGAGCAGCCATAGCTGCTCCCTCCCCCCGCCCTGTTGAGCCCGCCCCGCCCAGGCCCTGCGCAGAGCCATTTGCCGATCGCCTCAGGCAAAGGCTGGACTAGCGCCTCCCCAGAGGACTGAAGTTTTCCACACAGCTGATTCCTACAGCCAGTCGGCCTGGTGGTCAAATCCCTCTAGTGTTAACTACAACAATTAAGGCTTGGCTAGAACAAGACTGCGCACAAAGACCACAAGGGGGTGCACCAAGAAAGCATAAAAGATGCGGAGACAAAAAAACATGACAGAAATGGAGGATATGGAGCTAAGAATCGCAATTTTGAGGGCTTGCTATAAACTTGAGCAGAGCCTCACGAAAACTAATGAGACCCTCGATGCTACGATAAAGAAATTAGAAAGTAAGCATACACAGACTGAAATAAAGAATATTATACCCAATAGCAGACCAGAGGAGCACAAGAATCAAACCAAAGATTTGACAAAAAACACCCAACTGGAAAAGCAAAATGAAAAAAGAATCCGAAAGTGTGAAGATAGTGTAAGGAGCCTCTGGGACAGTTTCAAGCGCACTAATATCAGAATAATAGGGGTGCCAGAAGATGAAAGACAGCAAGATATTGAAAACCTATTTCAAGAAATAATGGCAGAAAACTTCCCCCACCTGGTGAAAGAAATGGACTTACAGGTCCAAGAAGCGCAGAGAACCCCAAACAAAAGGAATCCAAAGAGGACCACACCAAGACACATCATAATTAAAATGCCAAGAGCAAAAGACAAAGAGAGAATCTTAAAAGCAGCACGAGAAAGAGACTCAATTACCTACAAGGGAATACCCATACGACTGTCAGCTGATTCCTCAACAGAAACTTTGCAGGCCAGAAGGGAATGGCAAGAAATATTCAAAGTGCTGAATACCAAGAACCTACAACCAAGATTACTTTATCCAGCAAAGCTATCATTCAGAATTGAAGGTCAGATAAAGAGCTTCACAGACAAGGAAAAGCTAAAGGAGTTCATCACCACTAAACCAATATTATACGAAATACTGAAAGGTATCCTTTAAGAAGAGGAAGAAGAAAAAGGTGAAGATACAAATTGTGAACAACAAACATGCATCTATCAACAAGTGAATCTAAGAATCAAGTGAATAAATAATCTGATGTACAGAATGAACTGGTGATTATAATAGAATCAGGGACATAGAAAGGGAATGGACTGACTTTTCTTGGGGGGGGAAGGGGAATGGGAGATTCGGGAAGAGACTGGACAAAAATCGTGCACCTATGGATGAGGACAGTGGGTGGGGAGTGAGGGCGGAGGGTGGGGCGGGAACTGGAAGGAGGGGAGTTATGGGGGGGGGGGGGAAGAGGAACAAATGTAATCTGAACAATAAAAATTTAATAAAAAAAAAAACTCAAAAAAAAAAAAAAAGAATAACTTCCTTCAATTACTTCCTTGTAGCTTAATAGAACAATAGAGTAACCTTGGAATGGAGATAAGAAACGCCCCGGTCTTTGGAATAGAATGGATAGGATTAAGATCAAATAGTATAAATACAGATGTAAAAGGACAATAAAGAGAGGAACCTGGCTATGATGATCACCTGAAAATAAATAAATAAATAAATAAATAAATAAAAGCCTAATATGCTAAGTGTCTGGTCATCCATTCAACCAATCAAAGCATAATATGCTAATGATATGTTAAGGCCATTCAACCACTTGCTATGATGTGCACTGACCACCAGGGGAAAGACAGTCAACAGGTCGACCAGTCGCTATGATGTGCACTGACCACCAGGGGGCAGACGCTCTGACCAGTAGGTTAGCTTGCTGCTGGGATCCAGTGGATCGAGACTGAGCAAGACAGGCCGGACATGCCCTGGAGCCCTCCCGCAGTCCCTCCCAGGCTGGCCAACCTCCAAGGTCCCTCCCCAGCCCCAATCGTGCACTGGTGGGGTCCCTCGGCCTGACCTGCACCCTTTTGCAATCCAGGACCCCTCGGGGGATGTTGGAGAGCCGGTTTCGGCCTGATCCTGCAGGCCAGGCCGAGGGACCCCACTGGTGTATGAATTCATGCACCGGGCCTGTAGTTAATAAAATAAAGAACATCATAACCTCAGCCTGTCAAGAAGAGAGGCATGCCTTCCCACTCACTAAAGAAGGGCTTTTTATCCAACCACAAGAGAAGGGAGTAGATGTGTTTATGAACAGCTATTTTGACTGGCATTTGTGCTGTGTACCAAAAAAAAAAAATCCACAAACACTATTTTTAGTTTCCCTGTCAAGTTTCCAAAATAGACAAGGCTCCAAGATCACATATTTGCTCTACTTATCAGGTAAGAAGTGCTCTTGAAATTCTAGATATAATGGCAGTTAGCAAAGTATAGTAGTTGAAAATCACAGACCCTAGAACCAGCTGCAAGATTTGAAACCCGGCTCCTCCCGGTTAGCTATGTAAACTCGGCTAAGTTCATTGTCTCAGTTTCCTCATTCATAATGGGACCAGCAAATAGCCTACTTCAGAGGGTTATCATAAGGATCAAATGATACCAGGTAACAAACTCATCACACTGCCTGGACATACCCTCTATGCAGACATACCTCACTTTACTGATGTTTTTTGCAAATTGAAGGCAAGACCCTCTACCAGCAAAAAGGTTACAACTCACTTATTGTGGTGGTCTGAAACCCAACCTGTAATATCTCTGAGGTATGTCTGTGTAAGTATTACCTATTATATCCTTTATAGTATGAAAGGCCCTTAGAGTATTTTTAAAAGGGAAGACATGATTAACACTGTCATAGATTACAAACTATGCTACCTGCTCACTCTAACTTCCATGCTCTTTAATTATTCTACCACTCATTTTGGCATAGAGATTTAGTGCAAAGACAATCTAAGAAGCCCATAAAGAGAACATTCATTTAAATTGACAAGTTGCTCACATTTTTCATCACCTAGATTTTTTTAACATGTCACTTGGAGAGAATTTGCTTCAATAAAGACAAACTAGTCCTTCCCTGCTCTTCATAAATTAATAAAACCCCAGCATTAATTACCTGACAGAAGCTTGCTCTGTGAGGTCACCACAAGCATGATATAAATCAATCTTCCGCGGCAGAGTTTAAGTAAGCAATTTTTTTCTCCAGCTTTCTGTCCCCCCACTATTATAGCTTTTTAAGTAATGTGTGAAATATTTTATAATTGGGTTCAATCACTTTATTTTAAAGAGTTTCCCAAATGTAGCCTATCATTTGTATTAGTAAGTTCTGCTTTTTCAATACATTTTCATTATTTGCGCTATAAATAAGTTTTATGGTGCATTCTACATTCCTCCATGTAGTGACAATTCCTCAAGTTGGGGGTTGCAAATACTTCCTAGAAGGAGAAATAATGCATCAAAAGAAAACGTTTGCATATGTTCGTCAATTTACCAGGACTATATTTTCTAATGGAGATGTGCAACGAAAGAAGCAAACATAGGAGAAGGGGAGCAATAACTAATAATAACAATGACCACACACCAATCGCCTACTGTGGACGAGGCACTGGCCAGGTGCTTTAATTTTTTTATCTCATTTTAATTGAACAAGGTAAATATTATTTTCCAAGCAATGGGGAGTAAAAGGAAAGTGTACACATATATTATTGGGGTAATTTTTAACGAGGGATAGGGAAAAATGACTAAGAGAAAATACAGTCAAATATAGTTCATTCTCAGTGGTGGGACTATGGGAATTTATTGTATTTTTCCTTGTACTTCTCTGATGTTTTTATTCACCAAGGAAGGAAACAAGGAACAAGCAATGAATGAATGAATGCTCAAACAAACAAAACAAGAGGTTAAGCAACTTTCCCAATTTCTTACAAGGAATGAGCAGGGGAGTTGGGATTTGAATCCAGGACTGTCTCACTCTAAAGCCACACTATCCATTAAGTCGAAAAAATATAACCAGATATTTTGGGGGGCCCTGGCCAGTGTGGGTCAGTGGTTAGAGTGTCAGCCCACGCTCCGAAGGGTCAAGGTTCGATTCCTGGTCAAGGGCACGTACCTGGGTTGCAGATTCAATCCCTGGTCCCGGTCAAAACTAATTCAGGAGGCAACCAATTTGTCTCTCTCACATCAGTATTTCTCACTTTTTCTCTCTCTCAAAATCAATGGAAAAAATATCCTCGAATGAGGATAAACAAAACAAAACAAAAAAACATTTTGGAAGCTCTGAATGTTGACTTGTTCACAGCCCCATTTATGTTACCAAGTAAATGAAATGTCCACAATTTCCTCAAATTACATATATTTCTCCCCTTATATTATTTACCTATTAAAACAAATAAGATACGGGGAGAGATAACAAAGAAGTATCTTAACAAGGTCAGCTTAGCACAACCAATTAACAAATAATCCCATGATGCCAGAGCAGACGAGTGAAGTTCTTAGGTGAGGACTACGGAAGACCAGCTGTCACCTCAACCTTCCTAATGCCGAGACCCTTTAATACAGTTTCTCATGTTGTGGTGACCCCCAATTTCATTGTTACAAATTGAACATAATTAAAGCATAGTGATTAATCACAAAAACAATATGTAATTACATATGTGTTTTCCGATGGTCTTAGGCAACACCTGTGAAAGGGTCGTTCGACCCCCAAAGGGGTCGCGACCCACAGGTTGAGAACCGCTGACTTATATGATCCGTGGCGGGGCACGCAGGAACTCACTGGGGCCCACAGGGAGACCTCGCGGCGCCCGTCTTTCCCCATCAGCCCTCCCTATAACGCACCCAGGAAATATCTGAGCCACCTTGAAGTTCCCCAAGAAACTACAGATACGATTTGTCTCTAAACATAATTTGCCAAATGTGAAACGGGAAACAGGAAGCTTGTTAATTAGCTGAGAAAGCAACAAACCAAAACTCTCTCCATAGACAGAAAATGTTAAATGACACAAACTCGAGGGATAATCAGTTTTGAGTAATTTTTGTGCCATTGTCGTGTACTCTCTTGGGCAGTGAGCAGCTGTCGTAATCACTGTCTCAGAGTGAGGAGAGCATCTGAGATGATTCAAACCAAATTGCCCAGACTTTTAAAAACGTGTTTGAAAATTTGCACAAAATCACACACAGTAGAAAAATTTCATTAACCACTTAGAGACGCTGAAGCTCTGATGCAGGAAGTCAGACACTCGCATCACAAAATGTGGTGCACGATCTGATCGGCAATGAATTTTAGTCAAAGAGATGTTTCGAATGCTTCCACCCTCCTGCCTGACCTCGTCCGTGTGAGTTGGAACTACAGGGAAGGGATGCTACAGGCAGCAACTATACCTATACCTGGCTCTTCCATGAGGGAAAAGCTGGGGCAGGGCAATGATGCAGGTTACCCTCCTCGCTCCTAAGCCTCCTGGCTTCCTCACAGTAAGGACAGCTGAGCTCTAAAACAGATCACTGCAGCCTAAAGGAAAAGACTGTCCGGAGAAATTCCAAGGGCAAGAATTTCCAAAGAACACTCTGAAAGTCCAAAGACCGATACTGTCTGAGACTCAGTTCACCAGTCGGCCATCTCGTTTCCCTCCAGGCCGCAACTTCCCTCCAGGCGACCCCAAAACCTGCGGTGAAGTGTGTCACTCACAGTCGGCCTCCTGCCAGTGGCACTTTGGAGAATGACAGAGAAGGAACAGGTTTAGAGTGAAGTGATGGAATGAGGAGAAAAAGAGCATGTGGAAACTGAGAACCAGGACGGCCCCAGTCGGAACAGAAGTGAAAGAAACTGCTCTGCCCCGTCTCCCCGCCCAGAGCGCTAACAAGGGCTGTTGGGAGTGGGCGTTATAGTGCGCTGTTGGTCATCTCTAGTACAGGAGGTCCCTTTTTGATTTCTCCAAGGTCTTGCCATCATGGGAGATGGGGGGTGGGGCAAGGATAAGGAGAGGCTTCATGATGGACAGAGCCTGGGAGGGCTGCGGCCAGTGAATCCTCCTTTCTCTGATGGGAATAGCTGGAAATGTGGGAGATAAAGACCTGGGGGAGGGGGGGAGGGGGAGCAGATGGGAAAAAAGGGAAAGGAAAAGGAAAAGGAAAAGGAAAAGGAAACGGGGAAGGGAAGGGAAGGGAAGGGAAGGGAAGGGAAGGGAAGGGTAGGGAAGAACTATCAAGAACTCCCAAACACCATGAGGTACAGAAGCACATCTTCAGACTGGACCTGTAGCATCATTGATCCGAAACCACAAACACCAAACACGGGGTAGGTATGCATCCCCGTGCAAAGGGAAGCCTTAGAAGCAGGTTTAGGTGAGGAAAACAAGTCGCAAGACCAAAGCTGGGGAGACTGAACAGGACAGAAAGCAGCTATATGGAGAGAAATGGTTCAGGGTAGAGGCTGTAAAGAATCCGGTACTAAAGGCGTAATCTTATGTGGTGCTGTATGGAAGGCATAGGGGCAGGCGTGCCTTGTCTGAAAAGTCAGGGCCACCGCATGTTCACAGCAGCATTGTTCACAATAGCCAAGCGGGGGAGCAACCCAAGTGTCCACTGAGGGATAAATGGATAAACAAAATGTGGCCTATACACACAGTGGAATACTATTCAGCCTTAAAAAGGAAGAACATTCTGACCATTCTGACAACATGGATGAACCATGAAGACATTCTGTCAAGCAAAATAAGCCCGTCACACAAGGACAATTACTAAATGGTGGTTGCCAGGAGCTGGGGGGAGAGAAGAATGGGGAGCTATTGTTTAATGGGTTTCAGTTTTACAAAATGGAAAGAACTCTAAAGATGCATGGGAGTGATGACTGCACACCATGAATGTACTTAATACCACTGAATTGTACTTAAAAATGGTTACAATGGCAAAGTTTATGTTACGTGTATTTTACTCCAGTAAAAAATAAGAGATACCTTTAAAAAAAAAAGGCAGGTTTTGCAGATCAGCAATTGGTGTCAGTTGTTTATTTGTTTTAAAGAGGAATAGTTTTCCAATGTTTTTATTGGTTTCAGAGAGAAAGGGAGATGGAGCGAGAGATAGAAACATCAATGATGAGAGAGAATCATTGATTGGGTGCCTCCTGCATGCTCCACACTGGGGATCGAGCCTGCAACCAGGACATGTGCCTTGACTGGGAATTGAACCGTGACCTCCTGGTTCAATGGCTAATGCTCAACCACTGAGCCATGCCAGCTTGGCTGGTGTCAGTTTTGAATGTCTCTTATAGCAGTATTTTCCAAGATATAGTTCATCTGTCAGCAGACATTTTCGACCATTTACTTTTGAGAGTAATGTGCTAGACACTGCGAATATCAAGACTGTCCGAGAACAGTCCAGCATGAGATGCAGACCAGGAAAAAGAGTTATGACAGTTCCATGTTGCCAGGATGACCCTGAAAAGAGTAAGCACCTAATTCAGACTATGTGGTCAAAAGTGCTTTCCAGAACAGATCATGCCCCAGCCGCGTCCTAACACAGAAGCTACCATTTAGAGGTAGAGGGGAAAAAAAGCCCAGGCAAGAGGGCCCAGCACATGGCAAGAGAGAATGTGGCATGTTTTAAGCACCGCATGTAACTCCTGCCCAGAGCACAGCGGGGGAGGAGCAATGTGAAGAAGAGAGGAAGGTGAGAGTTAAACAGCAACTGAGCAGCAACAATGAACATCATTTTTCTGGATGGTGATAAACCAGTTGGGGAAGGAAGCTTTTTAGCTTTTGATCCGTGATCACTTTTTTCTGAAAGGATGCTATGAATGGCATATTAGGACAAAAACAGAATAGGGAGTTGAGAGGGAATGCAATGCCAACTGCCCATGAGGCCATAAGCGTGTTGTGTGTGTGTGCATGTGTGTGGTTAAGTACACATAAAATGTACCATATTAAAAATTTTCAAGTGTACAGTTCAGTAGTGTGAAGTATTCAAACTGTTGTTCAACCATCTCCAGGACACTCTTCATCTTCCCAAACAAAAACTCTCCACCCAATAAAGAATAACTCCCTATTCCTCTCCCTCCCCCCGATCCTTGTCTCTGAATGTGACTACTCTAAGTACATCACATATGTGAAATTGTACTACACTTGTCTTTTTGTGACTGGATTGTTACATTAGCATAATGTCTTCTAGGTAGCATGTGTCAGAACGTCCTTCCTTTTTAAGACTGAATAATATTCTACTGTATGTGTAAGACTACATCTTGCTGATCCATTCATCTGTGAGGGACAGTTGGGTTGCTTCCACCCATGGCTATTGTGAATAATGCTGCCATGAATGTGGGGGTATCAATATCTCTTCAAGACCTTGCTTTCAATCCTTTGGGGTATAGACCCAGAAAAAGAATTGCTAGATCATATGGTAATCCTATTTTTTATTTTTGAGGAACTGTTATAACATTTCCTTAGCAGCAGCACCATTTTACTCTCCCACCAACAGTGGGTGAGGGTTTCAGGTTGTTTGTTTCTTTTCACATTCTGGCCAACACTTGTTAATTTGTTTTGTTTTGTTGTGTTATAGCAGCCACCCTAATGTGTGTGGCAGTTGTAAACATCTACTTAACCCTTCTGGCCTTCAATTTCCTCACATGTAAAATGAGTGCACTAGACTAGAGGATCCCCAAGGATCTCAAATTTCATCGTGCTATAAATTGAGTGGAGAATTGGGTTGATTTACTGGAAAAACTCAGGTCATTTCATCACTGTGAGGCTCACATTCCCTAACTGTATTCACAGCACTGACACATACTCTGGATATGGTTTCAAGGAAAACACAGACTGAAATTCAAGTGCCAGGAGCATGAACTTAATGCGGAAGTTTCAGAGAGCCTGGTCCCAGCCATCCATGGAGAAGACGCGGATACCACTGGATACTGAAGAGGTACACCCAGGTGGCACGGCTTTTACACTGCAAACCACCCCCCACAGGTGAGGCTGATTGTTACTGTAGTAGAGACACCTAGTCATTGTTCAACGTTCACTCATAGAAAAGGGTAAAACTGCAACTAAATAAAAATATGGGCAGGCTGGGATGGCAGGGAGAAGTGGTCATTCCCCAGGCATCATGTTTTCTGATGTGACCAAAACTTTGAAAAAGGAAACGCATTTTCTTAATGAGATGCCCTGAAGAAGTGTCGCCAGTATGTCCTTGGGAAGAATGCTGTGCTCACAAACAGGTAAACAAAGGCACAGGATGACCTGCAGGAAAACCAGGAGTATTAAAACAGGATCCAGGACCCCTGAACTCACAGCCCAACACTGCTCCCAAACGTAGCTCCTCCTCTAAAAGGGAGGATTGTTATTATCACAGCTTTCCAAGAACAACAACAGAAACCTATTACTATGGATGTGTACAGACAATTTTGCTCCATAACAGCCCTTGTCTTTTTAGGAGTGCTGCAGCACTGTGGGCCTTCATGGGGGGATCAAACACGAAACACGAAAGCCTCTTTCATGTTCTACGAAGAATCATCTGGAATTGTGCGCTGATGGATATTATTAAACTTATTGTGGCAATCATTTTGCAATATATACACACATCACCTGAAACTAATATTATATGTTAATTATATCTCAAAAAAAACAACCCATCATCCAACACCTGAGGACTACAAACCTTCCCACATTACAAGGGTTGAGGGTTGAGTCACTTTACCTTCGTGGGTGGTTTTAGGAGAATTAGGGCAAAAAAAGCTCAAAGAAGGCCAGCATTGTGGGCTAAAAGAGACCTGCCCCCAAAGAGGCAATATGTGTGGAGAAAACAAGAAATTACTTTGTGGCCCTTTTCCACCCGTTTTTAAATATCCTATATAATAAAGAGGCAATATGCAAATTGACCCTCACGCCCTCACATCATCACAAGATGGCTGCCCCCACATTGTCACAAAATGGCCGCCCCACATTGTCACAAGATGGCTACCCCATGTCATCACAAGATGGCCGCCCCCACATTGTCACAAGATGGCCAGCAGGCGAGGGCAGTTGGGAGCAACAAGGCCTGCAGGGGAGGGCAGTTGGGAGCGAACAGGCCTGCAGGGGAGGGCAGTTGGGGGCAATTGGGCCGGCAGGGGAGGGCAGTTGGGGGTG